GCTGATGGGTCTTTAGCTTCACTGTGGAGGGATGCTGACCCACTCTGATTGGCTGGATCATTTGAAGGCAGGGACCTTGGAGGGTTTTCCAGCATCTAGGACCAGTTTCAGGTAACGGCATCTGGACTTTGACTAGGACACTCCATCTGCTTCAAAGTGTCTGTTTGTGTTCTGAGAGGAGGGCTTTCTGATAAACTTTGGATCACTATCCCCAGTGATCTGGAGCTGAAAATCACAAACTGATTGCCAGATCTTCTCCTTCCAGATTTTCCTCTAAAGCTCTGAATTGATGATTCAATCAATTGAAGCATCAAAGCAGCCCAAGACCATCACACCACCACCACCGTGCCTGACTGTCAGTATGACGGGCTGGGCTGATCTTTCAGCAGATGAAGCCATGTTGTTGGGTCTGAATGAGCCACATCTTCTTTCTGATTTGCTCTTTTTTTAGACTCTTCAACAGCAACATCCTCAACAGAATTCCTTATATGGAAAACAGGAAATTTGACATTTCAGGAAGCAGCCGTTAGCCAGCTGGTCATGTGACCAACAGGAAGTCCCTGCCTCTTCAAGCTGCTAACACTGTGACTGTGTCTGAACATCTGCCCTAACCTCTATATAGAACAAGTGTGAATCGAGCTCATGGTCAAATAGATTATTCTGCACATATATTCAATAAATTCACCACAACTTCCATTAAAAATATACGTTTATTCATAAAAATAATTCAGCTCCAAGTCAAATATATTTCAGATAAAAACTATTGACAATACCAGTCAAACTCAACTAAACTAAGCTACTATGTACACAAAGGAAACACGCAGTTATAAACCACAATCAATGAGTGTATACAAAGTTTTCACAACTTAGCATGGATTTTGTATTTGAGAACAAAGATCTATCCTGAAAATTTAGAATTTAATCAAATTACCATTAATTCATTTAGAGAAATTGAAATGTTTTCAAACCAATTCACAATGCAAATCCAAGAGATGAATAAAACATGATTTGGTCAAATGATGTATTATTAAATGATTTGCTTTATCAGGAAC